CCCCGCCCCTATAGGGTGGGAAGATCAGGCATAAATTGAATAATGTATCTGCTTCAGCTGAAAATCTGTCCTTATTTAAAATAAAGTTGAAGTTGCTACTTGGTGCAGCCATCAAAAAAAATGTACGGTTCTGTGTTAATTTCTGTCGTCTTAGAGAACTAAATTAAAAACTGTATTAAAGAGACTGTACAGTGCCGGATGTTATCTTCTTTGTTGACATGATGACAAATGTTTTCTGGCTGAGAGCATAACCAACTGAAACCTGTTTTAGGGTATAATTTCCCCAAAATTTTATTGATGAAAGCCACGATTTTGAATCTTTGAACAGTTTTTGCAGCTTCTTAAATTTTTGTAATAAATGGGTGAATTTGTTAAATCATTTTCTGGTTATACTTTACAGATCAAGCGTCTTATTGTCATAATATCTGCTCCTGGAACATTGATGAAGGTCCAAGCAAGACGGTCAGATGGTGGAATCAAAGAGGGCTAGCAGTCTGCAACCTTTAGAAGGTGTGCGCGGCATGCTGCTGTACTTTATGCATAGAGCTGGAGGTTGGGAACCATACAACCATTTCCTCTGTGTAGGCAGTGGTCTGGTTCGTATGTTTAGTGTGGTCGCGGTCAATCTACATTGTATGGGAACTGTTCCCATTGGACTTTTTGCGCCCCTGCTAACTTACCGTGGCCGTGCGGAAATCTTCTGGGACCCTTTTCGGCCTGTTAGTTTTACATCGCAATCACAATAAGTTGACAGGGATGTTAGTTTACCGTTTGTTCCCATTGGATTGAATTTTGTAATTCTACAGGGAAGTCCAGTAAGTTAACCAAAAAAGTCCAGTGGGAATTAATACGCCTTTTGATGTACTGGGCAATCAACAGCAGCCAAACAAACTGGTCATGGAGAGACAATGGGAGCTGGTCTCATTGAACAATGCCACTGGTGGATCTTGTGGTGGCTGGCAACCACAGACTCCCAGGCTGTTTGGCCTTGGGGGAGAGTTGACCTGTTGGATCTTGTTACACTGGGCAAGCAAATTACTTTGGTAAATTATGCAGACTTATGTGTCTGGCGGGCTTTCTAGCCAAACAACCCTGAACAGTTAGAGTTATATATTGTGCTTGTTTTAATTATGAAAATGGCTTTGGAATCATTCATATTAATTGACAGAAATGAGGCCTTTCTATTTCTCCAGTCCATTTAACTTTTTCTTTATTGTTAGGGCAATTGTTGGCAAGTGGATAGAAGCAGAAATGGTAGTGAGAGTGGAAGAAACGTGTGCTGTCCATCCAGGAGAAGTCTGTCTTCTGCAGTGACTGTAAGTTGTCTTTTCAAATATTGAAGATGATGTTGAGTCCGTACATTGATGTCACAGACACGTGCACAAAGGCCATATTGAAGATTTCAAATACAGACACTCAAGCCAATAGGGGTCCTAAGATATTACCTGAACCAAATCACTTTAACTTGACAGTCACCATTGTGCAGTTAATTGTGTGTGTTCATTTGACCCTAAAAGAACCAGGGAGTAGATCTGGCCCCTCAAGATTTGTTCTGACATTGCCAGAACATTGCCAGGGTTTTTCAGTAACTCTTTTGTGTCTTTCTGACACCAGTGCTGTGAAAATCGCACATACATGTATCTTTCTCGTTGCAAGCACCCCTTTTTCCTGAAAGAAAAAGCCAAAAAGCAAGTCTGGTCCGAGCTAATTTGGCTCATCAGGCTCGTGTTTATTGCAGTTTCCTTGGCATGAAATGACTGAGAATATTTCTATTCCCCCCTGGATGGGATGCCAGTCCATCGCAGGTTGCTTCCCTAGCTGATGCTGGTACCCATTTGTACTCCTGGGTGGAGAGAGGCAAGCAGGGGTGAAGTGGCTTGCCAAGGGCCATAACATACTGCCTGCAGCTGGATTCGAACCTCCAACCCTATGATTGAAAGCCATAGTCCCTTGGCGACATGAAAGAGGTCAGCCATACTAATCCATTTTTTTTATGAGCCAAGCCTTTAATTTCATATTGCAGCTTTTTACAGTCACTCGGACAGCATCCAAGAAGAACTCAAGCACATCTCAAGAGCCCTCAAGCACAACGGTTACCAAGATCACTGACTGTCGGGTCTCCTATACCCAAAGTCAACCACCTTCGTACAAGGCAACAGTGACCCTACCCTACATAGGAAATGCATCCCACAAGATCCACCGCATCCTTCACCAAGAAACTTCAAGCCACCCCGCAGACCCACAAGAACAAGCAAGACCATCAGACGAAAGCTGGTGGGAAGGTTTATTTTGGCAAGACTGGGCGGGATTTGCCCACCAGACTCATAGAACACATCTCCCATGGACGCAGAGTTGACTACGATAAATCAGCGATTGTCAAGGATCACGTCATCAACTGGCAAGCAGCTCAACTCATCGCTCCGGTCAAAAGATGGTACCCAAGACGCGTCGGGGAAGCAGTCGAGACCTACAACCACGACACAGTACCCCAAGACGTCGGCTCCTACATCAGCAGCATTTAACACTCCATATTACCCTCCCAGACCAATGGGTCATCTATACCCACAGTCACTCATGCATCAGTGAGCGCACTCAATAGCCTCTCAGTCCAGCAGATCCACCATCAAGCAAGCCAATTCTGTTCCAGTGCACCCTTAGCATCCTCTCCAGCGCTTAAAAAACAGCATCCTCAGAGCCAGGCAACCTGTCACCCTCCTAAAGACGAACAGAGCACACTGTCCAGAACGTCGAGTATTCACCATCGGTTCTTCTCAGAACCACACACTCTTAAAAAAGATATTTTCTTGTTCATGGTGCAACTTCAAGCCTAACCTAATTTAA